TAATTATAAAGGTACTTATCACAAAAAGTAAATCAGTTGAAATAAAAAACGTCACATTTTAAATTATTTATTACAAATTAAATAAAAGTATAAATAAAAACTATAAAATAAAATAATTTTTTTAAAATTAAATTGATTAATAAAAGAAGATTAATAATTGCAAAAGTTATTACATTAATTTTAGTCTCAAATTTTAAAAAACTTCTTAAGTGTTAGGGGGAGCAGCGCACATTCACTCAATTGACAGATGCAAACGTTGATGATACTCGATACTCTGGTCGGTATGAAGTGTGGTGCGCATACACGGTGCACCCGTCGCCTTTGCCCTCCGCAAACGCCTGCACAGGACAGATGGCCCGAGGAGTAAGTGATTTGACCTTTGACCACAGGGTCGGCGAGCAACAAGAGCAGCTGCCCTCCTTGATGCACACACAAATAAACATGTGACCTCTCGTCGTTTATTGCTGATTAATGGAGAGAGCCAAGCAAGCCACCCACATGCGTGCGACGCTGCGTGCTGATGGAGCGATTCTGTTTTGTCAGCGGAATTGGAGCAGAATTAATTGAAAGCCGCGTCGCTGCCTCTTCACCCAAGTCAAATGATTTCCACAGAAAGAAAGAGAGAAAGAGACGTTTCCGCCAACGACAATTGCACAACCCTATATCCATCATCGGCTGCAGTTTATTGGACATTTCAATATCCCATGCCAAATTATTTATTTACACAAAATTAAAATAATTTTAAAATTTTTTCACGAGCAGAAATTTATAAAAGATATTTATATTAATAAGCGAGAATCGAAAAGAGAAAAGTCAGTTTGCAGAATTAAGTGGAGTGCTGATAATATTTATAAAAAAATTTACATGATTTTTATTAAATTTTTTTATTTGTAAATCTTTTCAATTGTCTGCATTACCTTAGAAATTTTCCAAAACTTTTCATTTTAGATATAAATTTTCTGGTTTGCATTAATTATAATAAAAAAATATTTATTGCTAACCAGTAAAAAAATTATCTGCTTGACTCTCATATAAAATAAAAGTCTTTTCAGACTCACTTCCAAGATCTCTCATGAACCAGTGCCATTCATTTAAAAATTAATCTCAGTGAAGATCCTAACCTCGTCATAAATTAATTGAGTTTTCGGACCATAAAAAATACAACAAGTTGAGTCACAACAACAGCGAGATTACTCTCTTCACTATGATGCGCGCCACGTTTTATAATTTTTAATTTCCCTAAATCAAGCTCTCACCCGCACTAAATCAGACGGACAGCGCCAACCGAGCAGGCAGTTAGTTCATTTCGAGCCGGCTCATCTCTGAAGAGTCAATAAATTTTCACTGCCGCTCAACCCTTTCGTCCCGAGTGCGCTCGTTCGTTCGCTCGCGCGCACGGCAAAATCGATTTTCCTATTCCGTGAGTATCGGCCCGACCAGTAGAGCGACCGAGAGACGCTGTTTTTAATTTAATACCATTAATTGCGTTCGCTACAAATTAATCCTCACCTTTTCTCACGGTCAACTTCATAAGATAAACGGAAAAATCTTGGCGAGATCAGAAGGATGGGCCCTTCGTGTGTGAGCCTCTTGGTCCCATATCGTCTGTTGTGTGTTCTCGGTAGAGGCTGCTGACGTGAGATACTTTTGCATGATGGATTAGGTGCTTCACTAATAACCCTCTGGAGGTTATGAAGGATATGAGATAAAAAATTATCTTATTGTACGAAATACGAATGGAGAAATAGATATACCATAGGACATTTTGAATATAATAAAAAAATTGTTTTGTTGTTGATGAATTAACAAGAACAAAATTTTTTATAATATATTGAATTCAGTAACTCCAACGATTAAAACTACAATAATTTAACATGGAAACGGAATTTGAAAAAAAAAACACATTTTAATTTTTTAATTTTTGTAAAGTATAAAAATATTATAAATAATTAGAGTTAAAAAAATATTATTTTAATATTTTTTACAATACATTAAATAAATGTTTAATTAACAATATTATATTACATATTTAAATATTATTAAACATTTTTATTTTACGTTTTGAACTTCATAATTTTTTTAATGTAGAACATATTTTTTGCTCTTATATTATATACAAATAAAAAAATTATAAAAATATATGTAATAATCATAGAGTTGAAATTCAAAATTTATCTTTTTAAGAATTTCAACAAGTGATCGTTTTTCTCCTGCAATACTGATTTCAGTTGGAAGAAATCATTTGATTAATTTGTCATTTATGTCAAGCAGATATGTTATAAAGTCTTATTCAATAATATATAGAACCGGTACATTTTTAATCAAAGTAGTGCTTAAGTTAGTGTTATATCGTTCTAACTGGGTGGCTATTCCAATGATATTTTGGATATTAATTAACTTTTTTACAGTTCCCGGGAAAAACTATTTAATTTACTTATTGATCTTTGCCGCTTGACATCTCTTCTCGAATAATAGCGAGATAAAAGTTTGGCGGAAGACCGGAAATATTGAGATGATTAATAGGCCAACAATGAACGGTCAACAATGGGGCGTGCTCGAGCAGAGATGAGTGATGACGGTCCCACGGCTCATTCACTTCTCCGTTCGCCCTCGCACACCAAGAAAAGTCGTAAAAATGCCCGGCCAAGAGTTAAAGAGAAACTCAACGTCTCCGTTTTCGTGCGGGGCGCAAAGTAATTCACCGATTTCAATGTGCGGCGTTGCATTCAAGTGCGATAAAAACAATCGTAAATATCACGAGTGGCGGTTGAAATTTATATCGAGAGGGAGGCGTACAGTGTGTGTCTGCGTACGGTGAATGACTCGGCGCATAAATTCATTATTGTACGGGAATATTCATGTTGCAGGAGCAGCTTCGCAGGTAGGCGTGGTTTTTTCTTAAGCTAGACGTGAAACCTATAATTATAGCTGGACGTCACGAGAGACAAGGTTCCTCTTACAACATGATACACACACACGCTCACTCGAGAGAGCAGAGAATAAAATATATATAAAATATTATATTCCTGCTCGGCTCTTCTCATACATGCGAGTCGGAGAGAATTGTTATTTTTGTCTTATTATTTTTTTTATATGCACCAGTGAGAAAACGGCGCACACTGAGCTTGAAATTATAATTCTTTGGACAATTAAAATTGACAGCAATTAGGAGCGCTTCTCGGAATGCCGAGTTCTCACCTGCTGCTGCATAAATTGCACGTGTCTCGGTATATCAATTTGCGAAATTTGTTTCGTGCTAATTGCCGTCGTGGAAATGTCATCCAACGTATACATACTGTTTTATAGAATGGCTTTTGAATTGAAAATAAGAATAAGGGTATTTCAGCTCAGCTTCTCTATCCAAGATAACTGATTGAAATTTTAGTTTTCTGATGTTACTAATTTGGTAGTTATTATATTTCTACGATTACAAATTTTTTGATATAAAATATATGAAAAACTTATTTCGGAGGAACATTTCTTTAGAAAAATTATTTAAATCATTCCTCGTCTCTGGAATATATATTTTTATTAGTAAAGTTTATAATTCAAATATAATTTCTAATTCAAAATTCAAAATGATTATATAAGTTTGAATGGTTTTAAATTCTTAAAATAAAATTAAACGTTTAAATTGCTAAATTTAACTTAATTCTTACAAATAATAAATTGAAGTCAAAAAATGTAATTTTGTATTAAAATTAAAACTACAAAATTTTTTTTGATGAAAATAAAACCAAAGAATTTTTTGGAACTCAACAAGTGCAAATGGGTCGTGGGAGTTGAGGTGGCCGCGGTCGATGGACTCACTTTTCGCACACGTGCTGTTGATTTTTATTTACGCGCCCAATCAACGAGTCCTCGGGGCGCAGACAGCGGCAGCGAGGGTTGCCATGGCGACCGGGACGAGAGGAGCACCCTCGGCGGCCGGGGTAGGTGTGTCTCTGCGAGGGATGGAGCGGTCTTTTGAGGCAGGCAGGCTGCCTTCATTTGCGCGAGTATTGTGGAAAAAGCATTGCAAAGGAGGAGGTGGAGAAAAAGAAAAGGACGACGGCAGCAGCGGCGGCGGCGTCGGCGGCGGCGAGGTTTTCAGGGGAAGACATAATGACAGAAAATTACGTCGAGATGATTACAGAGCACAGCATCCCACTGTACATCACATGCCTGGCTGAAAGCGCAGAGGGCGAAATACGTACGTATATAAGATGAGGAAGGAAATGTGGAGATGGGAAATATAACATCAGCATGCTGCGCTGCAACCCCTGTATGTGCAGTCAAAAGTTTTGCCTGCGCTTTTATCTCCCTCTCGCTATGCCGTGCAAGTGGAGAGACAGCCAAGTGGGAAAAAAAGAAGACACGTTGAATGAAAAAGCCGCAGCAGAACACACGCTGCATGCATATTTGACTCTTTTGGCTCGACGTGCGCGGCTTTTGGTGTCTTTTGATGGCACCAAAATGTGTTCCCTCTGAGATGTAGAAACTGCTGATTTTTGTGATAGTATATTTTGAAATGGGGCTGCAAAAGTTGTGTGCGAAATTTAAATAAAGCTTGAAGTACGATTGCGATGAGTTTGCAAAACAAAATCTATTTATTTAAAATAAAAAAATTAAATATTTTGATAAATGATTCTTTCATAAAACTGTTTCTCTAAATTGCATGATCCTTAATCTTTAGTAATTTTTAATTTACAAATTTTTTTCAAAAATACACCTTAGAACAAAATTAAGAACAATCATATTGAAAAAAAACTTGTAGTTTTGCTAAAATAAAGCATAATTTTATATTTATTGATTTGCCTCTACCAAATATTCAACTTTCTGAATTCATCAAATGCCGAGATAAATTTAGAGAAATTAAAAAAAAAATAATAATAATCAGTGGATCATTTTCTTTTTCATTTTTCCATTCCTATATTTAAATAAAACTGGCAAATCTGAATAGCAGAGTAAAATTCAATAAAAAAGGGAGAGTTAAAAATAAAAATGTCATTTTTCTCTTATGAAATCCGATGAAGTTATATATTATACTTTTTATACAGGAAAAACATATAGAACACCTCGATTTTTAGACAGTATTTATACAATTACATTGGGACAAGTTAAAATTACCAAATTTCTCGCTCATTTCGCATTATAATTCATAGAATCAAAAAACGCTGCACTGCGTCCCTTCGCGCGAAGGGACGCCCTCAGGGTCTCGTTCTGCAACTGATATTAGTGTTTTTACATAACATCTTCTCTCGTTTTCGCGGCGACTCTTCGTAAAAGTGTGTGCAATTAATCTCTCATTTCCAAATTCTCGGCTCCAAGCACACGCGGCAGTCAAGCGAAATGACATTTATGTATATCGATTCGTGCTCTGTATGGAAACACACACGCATGATCTCCGACGGCAAAAAAAAAAAAAAAATAACCCGTCCTTTTGGGGTGTCTCTTTCGGTGCACAAATTCACAAAAGTAGTCAGTTTATGGGGGGCTCGCTGCTGGTACATACATCTAATATAATACATACAAGATGATGACACTGAGAGTGAAACACCGGCTTTTCCTTTTCGCGAACAAAAAAAAAACAGCAACCTTTTTTTAGGTGAGCAGCCCTTGGTTCATGGAGTTGGCGTCCGGGGTCTGGTACCACGAGTACTGCGGCATGTACGCGACGGCGGCCGCTGCGGCCGCGGCCGCCTGGGCGGCCGCCGACGAGGCCGGCAAGTGGTGGTGGTGGTGGTGCTGTTTCATGTCCCACGAGTTGGGTCCGGCCGGAGAGATGACGCTGTTGATGGGCGGCGACGCGGACATGAGCAGCGGCGGCGGCTGCGGCGACATGTCGCTGCCCGGCGTCGACGAGGGGGAGGGGGGGCTGCCGTGGCCGCCGATCGGGCCGCCGCCGTAGCTGCCCACGCTGTTGGGCGCGCCGGGGCTGATGCTGTCGTGGCCGCCGTGGTGGCCGCCTGGCGGAGGGCTCATCGAAAGGGGAGGCGCGCCACCGCCGCCCTGCTGCGCCGCCTTCATCATCTTCTTGTACTTGCTGCGGCGGTTTTGGAACCAGATTTTCACCTGCGAACATAAATTTGAAATTGTTTATCATCTATAAATTGTCATTGGACAAGACGCAAGTTAATAAAGTGTATTTTAGGCATAATAATTGTTTTCATTTTATTATATATCAATTACAAAAATTATAAGCAACTCCAATGAAGAATCAAGAACCCATCATCCATTTCAGCTATTTTTCAAAAATTAATGTTATTGAATTTGTTCTACTAGAGGCGTACATTTGTAAAATATTAGCATTTATATCAATAGAAATCAAATTTATTATATATTTCATATAATTAAAACGCATACGCAAAATGACTTTTAAAAATAAATTTTAAATATATGATATATAATAAAAATATAATAGTTTAATAATTGCCAAAACAAATTGCCGGGTAAAATATTTAAACAAAATAATGTTGTTGTTTTTTTTTAATTTTGATTATGTTTATATCTTTAAAGTTAATAGCTTTTTATACTTTATTACGCTTTATTGATAAAACACATATTTGCAATAATGATAATAATCGAATTCACACGTCAATGGTATAATGGCACACGCGGCCAGGCGAAAACGGAGCAATGAAGTGAGTCTGAAACCGTCTCTTTAATCTCCACATGCGGTCCCCTAGCATAACACGATAATTACAGGCGTACGGGGATGCTGCGGGAGGGCGCGACGGGGCGAATAAGTCACGTGTCGCCCCAACAATGAACGTGTAATTTATTATTCCTTTGAGTTTCTGCGACTGGCCGTGGCAAGTGCACATGCATTCGTTCACACACGGCTGAATCGAGCAGTACTTTATGCATTTCAAATAAAGTAAATAATTCGAGCAGTATTTTATTCATTCAAGTTGCATTTCATATAAAGTAAATAATAATGGAGGATTCCCTCTCTTTTTGCTGCGAATGAGTTTTAACAAATTGGCCTAGAGGCTGAATAATGGATGCTTATCTGTGATAAAAAGTAAATATGTGCACGCAGACGCGAATTTATATAATTGCACGTCATTTGTTAAAATTTAATTGCTTAATTTGGCAATGTAAATCACACGAAGCAGCTCGGTGATTTATCAAACTCTCGGCACGTTTGCCCGGTGCGCTATACAGCTCACCGGTAATTATCTTGCAATTTTTCACAATAACATCATGTTTACGGTGAGAGTTGAAAAATTGATTTTCGCTATTGCAAAATTGACCTGCATTTTCAGCTATTGTGAGAGGGCTATTCAATTTTCGTGAGAGGTCAAACAACTCCAGAAAAATATAAGTCGGATTAAGAATTTAATTTTTTTTCCTTAAATAAATAGTTTTTTTGTTAAATTTCTTATTTAAGCAATTTTTTATAACCTTTGATATTGGTTTTTATTTAAAAAGAATATATTTTTTCCTCTTTGGTGTATTTTATAATATTGCATGTTGCAAGAAAAGAAATCTCAATTTTTCGCCTAAAGTCAAACTGTCCTGCGTTATAATTCATTTTACAGCCTCGACTCTTTACAACAACCGCGGCGTCGTCGAATGCAACTCGCCAACCCTCGAGGCAGTTTTACGGAAACTTGTCGTTTTTATGCCGCCGCTGTTGCATCGACCTGGATTTTTTCCCATTTTACTGCTGCATCTCTTTCTCTCTCACTCGCTCATATAAAAATATTATTTCCTAGGTTTTTTTTATCCAGCAAATGCACACTCGCTTTTCTAATGCGTTCACGCCATAAAAGATAGCAAATGTGAAATAATTTTTCTCTGCGTGTGCGCTCGGCCAGCTAGATATACACACAAGCCTATATATAACTGTTCCCTGCACCGGCCATTATAAAAGATCATCATGCATGTTTTGCCGCTCTTTCATATACACGAGGCTAATGCGCGTTTTATTTCCATGTTTATTTTGATGACCAAACAGATTCGCCTCTGCTGCTGGACGTGATGTTTCTCATTGTGTGAGTGCCAAGTGCACAATCGTATATCCGCCAGTGGGTTTAGCCGCTGAATGGGACGCTGCGCTTTTAAAATCCCATTTCGGATTCATCCCGTGTAAGCTAGAAAAAACCGACACACGTTGCCTTTTTCAGCGAGACAAATTTTTATGGAGGCCCATAATGTACATACGTGATGACTATCTGACTTATATTAGGTGATAGTAATGGTATTTGGTTACTACACGTCCGTCCGTCCGTCCACGTCTCTATATTGTACATAATGCCCGCGTGCATGCAAAGGGTTATCTGCAGAGTCATCTTGTCCGGCTCTCGCAACATAGAGAAAATATTTTTCTATAACAAAGCAACACGCCGCGCGCTCGCGAGCATCCACATTGAGGCTACCTGAGAGTGATTCTTTTCAAACATGCCTGCACACAAATAAAATCTGAATAAAACCCGCGCCGTGTATGCATTTTTATTTTACCCCACGCTCGTTTTCCTGTTTGCATATTTTACGTCCGACAAGAGTTTTCAGCGAATAATTTCTGCACTATCTCCAGACTACAGTGACAGTTGCATAGGATAAAAATTGAAATTAAAATATTTACACCGCAAAAAAGTAAAACGTTGGCAAAGGTGCATAATTAGTGTGACAGTTCTGTTTTATCAGAGTGTGCGCACCTCGTCTCACTGTCAAATTTACTTGCATGTCCTGCATTTTCTGATATTAAATTTTGCCTCAGCACATACCATATTGTTTTGCTAAAAAGTGAAATTTAAATATTAAAAAGAGCGTCTTTTGAAATAATCAAATCTTTTAACTATAACGTAAAATGAAAATGTACCATTATTTATTAAAATTGAAGCAAATAATTTTTTAAAAACGCTCTTATTATGGAATTTAACCATTCAGCACAATTTTTTGTATGTTTTAATATGTTTCAAAAGTAAAAAGTGTAAAACCAAAAGTTTTAAATTGAACAGGTGCAAATTCAAATATATGTAATTTAACATGTTGAGATTGTAAATAATTACAGTATTCAAATTGGACACTATAATAAATTCAATAAAAAAATAATTGAAGATTTACTTTGTACCAACGAAACATTTACACGTACATGATTATTAAAAAAAAAAAATGTCTGGCAGAACAATTCATTTTTTTTGCAATTGAAATTTTTCTTCCTAAACTGTCTGCACGATTTGACAATTTGTTCAATTTAATTGGGCAATCGATCACTCGGCGCATATATAATTTAATTTCATTCCAGTACAAAAATCCGGACGAATTTCCATTTGACTGCCCAGCACATGCGAGCAGTGAGTCGAGCGAGCGACGCATTCTCGGAATTTCACGTAAACTAATTTATATACCGTGCGCAATAAAACGCACACATGCATAAACATGAGGGAGCGCGACTGAAAATTTTCAGTTTCCATCCGATCTACGGTGTTATTTTTTTTATTCACCGGAGACGCGATATCAAAAAATGTTAAAACACAATTTGGTAATTTGTTGTTATAGGAAACAGACAAGCAATTTGTCATTCCAAATTTGATACCACATCTCTCGTAGGCCGTCGCTGATCAATTAGCGAACAACAAGATAAGAGCGTTAATTAAAATTACAATATAATAGACCCGGTCGGACGGCGAACTAGCTCCATAATACCTGTACCTAAAAACTGGTGTGGTGGGGGAGGCGGTCTGTACTTTTAGAATATAAGCAGCGGGTTTTGTGTGTTTTTCATTTGAACCTTGACACAGTTTTATAGCTCATAATATGTATAGGCTTCATATGCAATCAAGTAACTATGGTAGCTGAGGATTCCACATTAACACAAACGAAGCCCTCAGGCGCATTACGTATATTTTTTATATCACTTCAATTCCCAAGCTCTTTCTTTCTTTCTCCGCATCTCTCATGCAACACGGCGGCTATTTGTTATTTTTATTTTCTTCCAACGCATGCATTCTCTCGTTCTCAGATAGACACACCGCACACATGCATGCACTCGCTGGTGTGTGTATATTTTATATGATAAAGGGCATTGTGTTTTGTTTTGTCAAACCCCCGAAGCGGAGTTCCGGGGAGCCCTGCGCAAGGAGGCAGCGAGTCAGTCGGCAGGAAGAAAGAGACACCGCCAGACACCTTGTAAACACTTACTTAGCACTGAGAAAATGGCACGGAGCACATAATATTGTATTGCAACATAGTATATATTATAAAGAAAACTTTGATCGACTGATAAGAAACAAATTTGTTTGTGTACTTGTTTGAATATTCAATTCTTTGCGAAGAGAGAATAAAAGCTTTTAATTTTTAAATAGTTTTAGGAAACTGTTTTCTCACTGTTTGGCTAATAATTTGTCATTTCCCGGCGCAGTTTACATGTTTTATGGCTCTCAACGCTTCCACCAAACGAAAACTGATAAAACACTGGACGGTGCTTTTCCACGAAACGATATAGTTTGTTTGGAAAAAAGTTCACTCGTTAAAATTATCAATTACAAAGTGGTGCAATAAAAAAAATAATCAAAAAGGAAAACGGGCCAGAGAGGAAGTAGAAAAGCAGCAGCAGGTAGAAATTGTTGAATATTCCCTTGAAGGTCACTATAGACTTTATTAGCCTTTATGTGAGGTTCATCGTCTCACTTGGTTCTTTTTTTTTAGTAGCCAACCCCTTTTGAAGGAGACGAGGACCTCACGGTTCGGATGCTGCGGGAGTGACCCACGGGCATATTCTCCAAAAACAACAAACTCCCAGCGTCCCTCTTTCTCCTCCTGCGCTGCCGTGTGTAGAGAGGGCAGTAATTAAAATTATTGGTGTTACTAACAACTACAAAGCGCACCGACCAGTTATGACGCAACTGTGCAATAAAACGGGCCCAGAACACACACACACAGAGCCGCGTGAAGTAGGTTCTCAGAATATCAGGCCGGCCTGGCTGCTGCGAGTTTGCAAGATAAAGGTGTTCTGCCGGACAGGTGTGTGTTGCGCTCGAGGACTGACTGGGGCCGGCTTTGCACCGCGAGCAACAGAGACACGCACGCCTGCTGCTAACTTTTCTCAATATGGGACGTTCCCA